GAGACAGCCAAGTGTCCTTATGATGGCATTTGATTTAAGCAGACTCAGCTCCTTCCCCAGCACCACAGGCTGCACTGGTAGGGGTCATATTCCATTTGCAGGTGCAAAAAGGACATCTCAGACTAGTCCTGATGGGTCTAGTAGAGGTGATGCTGTTGCTGCCCACAGGCAGAGCAGTGGTTGAAAGCACATTAGGAAGCTCAGATAAACCTACTGAGCACTCACAGTTCAGATGTCTCAGGGACTTGTCAAAATTAATACTTTCTTAATGATTTATTCCTCTCATTCCTCAAGAGTAGGAAACTGGAAACACAATCTCAGGAAATTTCTTTAACCTTATAAAAATCTTTGTCTTGGAAATATTCTGAGAGGGAGCTGAAGTTCTGAGCATGTCCTCCTCCTCTACACTACAGATAGTCTCAGAGTTGCACTTACAGAATCTGTAGTTGGTGAGCAGTGCCAGCTTTCCCAGATGCCTCCAAAAGCTGCAGTCCCATTGCTCTCCATGACCAGACTTCCTGTGCCAAGATCTGTTAAAATTCTCGCCCAGTGAGGTCTCAGCATCATTCTACATCTGACAGCCTTTAATTTCTCTCTGTCTCCCTCCCCTGTCCCTGGTGCTGCAGGCAGTGCCCTCAGCCCTGCTGGGCTGTGCAGAGGAGCTGCTCACCAGCAGAGCTGTCTCTTTGAAGCTCTTCTTGCTTGCCAGGAGCTCCCTGTGTGCCAGGAGCCCGGCCCAGCTCAGTAGCACAGCAACAGCCCCAGGCATTTAGTGACCCTCAGGGGGGGTTGAGGTTGTTTACATGAGACTCAGTCCCTGAGAGGAAGTTCAAACAACTTTTCAGGAAGTCAAAGTGAGATTGAAACACTGAAGTTTCTTGTAGTGCAAATGAGTCTCACTAAGGAACACAACTGAGAACGTGTCCCCAGGTTCCAGTTAGAGCAGAAAACTGCAGACAGTGATGACAAGGATGGACAAGCAAGGGAAAGGTGGTTCTAATGCTGAACAAACCTTGACTTGTTTCCTTAATCTAACAGGCCAAGCCCTGACCCCCAGCCCCTGGGAAGGCAGATCCTGTCCCTGCCTCATTCCTCAGGGCTCTTCCTGGGGCACTGGGATGTGGGATGTGCAATGCCAAGGGCAGGACCATGGGGTGGCACCTGCCAGGCTGCTGAGCAGGGACAAGGAGGCCATGAGGCCCCAGGGCTGCAAGGGCCACTCCCCTCCTCCTGGCATCAGGGGCACAGACAGCAGCCATGGCCAAAGGCCTGCAGAAGGTGGCTGTGTCAGGGCCTTTCAGCTTCTCCCCCTCCCTGTCTCCTCTCCAGCCCAGGCTGTCCTACGGTGTCCATGCCCTGCCCCTTTCCCTGCAGGCTGTCGTCATCCCCCCGGCTGCCCCACCTGGCTGGCACCTTCCTGCACTGACATCTCTGCGTCCTCCCTGGCTCTTCCTGCACACACAAAGCCTTGGGCTCATCCAGACTCCTTCTGGGTGATGTGTTACACCACAGCACTGCCCTTTGAGTGAAATTTCTTTCTCCTTGTTTCCAGCCTGGACCTCCCAGGCTGCACTTGCCATTAATTCTTTCTTTCCAGTGCTCTTTTCTGCTACGACAAAAGCATCCACCCTCTCTGAAGTGACTCTTCAAGCACTCCCAGGGTTCTTCTCTGCTGTCCTCTGCCTGCACACCACTGAACCCACCACTCCTTTGCCCCGTAGAGTAGTTATATGTTTGAGACCTCCAAACCCCTTCTGGGACATCTCTGAGCACTCTCCAAGGTGTCTGCAGATGAAAACATAGTCTAAGGTAGTCACAGAGATACGTTTTACCAAGGCCTGCAGTGGTAGAACACAGGGCAATGGCTTTGAAATGAAATAGGGGAGGTTTCTATTGGATAAAATAAAGAAATACTTACCAATGGGGCTGGCAAGAACTGCAACAGAAGAGGATGTCCCATCCCTGGATTTGTCCAAGGTCAGGATCTTTGAGCAGCCTCAATTAGTGAAGATGTCACTCTCCATGTCCAGGGACTTGGACCACCTGAGCTTTTATGTCCCTTCCAAGCCAAACCATTCTTGATTCTTTGAGTCCCAAACTCCTTCTCCAAAGAATTTCTGTTGCTAGGACATGAATTACCATGTTTTTGGAGAAGCCACTGTAAACCCAAAAGGTAAAAAATCAATTCAAATAAAGTTCCAACATCTCTGTGTGAGAGTTTCACCAAATGGGTCAATGGCAGAGCCTCCCAGGATGACCTTGCCAGTTGAAGATGGGGGATTCTGTTTGGGGTGTGAGTCTTATGATGGGCACCAAGAAAGCACATTTGGGGACTGGGCAAGACTTGTGCTGAGATCTCTAGGGAAGAGCCAAAGGGAGGGAAATGGTGGGATCACAGTGGTTTGTGAAGGAACGAGTGTGAGAAAACAGAGAGAAAAGGGATGAAAAATCTGGTCATGGTAAACAGGAGGATGCTCAAGACACTTCCCAGGCCATGCCCTGACACTGATCCCCACAGCCTGTCCCGTTTTCTTAATAACTCCATTGCCAAGAAGTTTCTGTGGGGAGGGACCTCTCTGCTCCTGGCACAGGTTGTGGTCCAAGTTCCAGCCACTGCAGCAGGAGCCACAAAGAGTCAGGTCTTGTGTTCTCTGGGGGGCCAGACTCTGCCCAGAGTGGGGTGGGTGTGTGTGTGTTGGAAGCACAAAAGAGTGAAGCCAATGCAAAGCTAAACACCCAATGTACCCTGACTTTGTCCCTAAGTGGGGGCTGAGAATTGGACCCAACATGTGCAGGGACAGATGGAGGGGTTTGTCCCCCTGGCCCTGCCCAGAAGAGACACCTTTCAGGAAGGGTTGTGGCCTTGGCTGTGCTGAGGGTTGCCCCGGGCAATGCAGCTTGGGATTGCAGTGGCACTGTCAGGGCTCTGCAGAGCTCCTGGCAGTTCCTGCCTTTGTCCCCAGCAATGCCAGAGAACTGCAGGGGTTGCAGTCAATCACTTGTGCTCTTTGGGACCCCGACTGGCTCTGCTGAATGGGAGCAGGCCTGGAGTTCCCAGACTGTTCCTGCATCCAGGGTCGGGCCTGCAGTGACGTTTCTGCAGCATTAAATTGGGGCAGTGGCAGGATGGCCATGGATCCATTCCTGCAGAAACACAATGGGGCTCCATCCCAGGCAGGGATAGAATGGGCCCCCAAATGTTGGAAGGATAAGAACCAGGGAGTTTTGGCACTCTGGAACCCCATGGAACCAAAGGAACCCTGGGACATGGAGGGACCTCATGGAATCAAGGGGACATTGTGACCCTGCAGCACCTCATGGAACCAAAGGGAGTCTGGGACGTGGCAGGGCCTGATGGAAACAAAGGCCCTCCCCGGGGCCTCAGGCCCAGCCTGGACCTCCCCCATCCCTGTGAGGATTTTGGGAGGGTCGTGTGTCCCCCCCTCACCTGCTTTTATTCTGACACCACCCGGCTGCTCCCAGTGATCCCAGTAAAGCTTCCCAGTTCTCCCCAGTCCTGGTTATTGGGGGGCAGTGGGGAAGGGGCTTGGGGGAATCCCAAGGGTTGGAGCTGAGTTTGGGGGGGGCAGAACCGGCCATGGGATGGATCAGAAATGCGGACCCCCCTGTGTTCCCCCCATGTCACCCCACTCTGCGGGGGCTTTGGGAGGGCACCTGCCCCTCAATAAAGCAACCAGTTCACCCCAAGAGGTGCTGGGACCCCCCAAAAGCTTCCCCAGAGCTCCCCAAGGACCCCCAAACACAGTCAAAGCCCACCAAGGACCCCACCCAACCCCTTTTCTGGGGGGACTTCTCTGGGCACTGGTGGTGCTGGGAGCCCCCCCGGCTGCGGGCGAGGAGCTCTCGGGTGAGCGAGGGTTGGGAAGGGGGTGGTCGGTGGCAAAAGGGGGGTCAGAGGGGAAAAAATGGGTGGTGGGAACCCAAACTGAGTGGGAGGGAAGTGGGACCCCCCAAAAGTGGAGCAGGGCAGGGCACTGAGGTTTGGGGGATGATGGGAAATAGGGGGTGAGAGGTCAGAAGAGTGGGGAAAGGGCAGGGTGGGACCCTCAAATTGAGCATGAGGTTGCTAGGGATGGGGGGGATGATGTGGAAGGGGGGGGAGATGAGGGAAAGAGTTAGAGGTTGGGACCCAAAAAGTGATCCTGGGCAGGCTGGGGATTGAGGAACCATGGAAAAGTGGGAGGAACAAGAAGAAGGGTGAAAAATGGTTGGTGGTCTGGCAGGTCTGATGGTCCCATGGGGGTCTTTGGGCACAGGCAGGTTGGTAAAAAGGGGTGGCCCCCCTGAGCTCCCAACTTTCTGTGGGATGCTGGGAGTTGCTGGATCCAATCTCAGCCTTGGATTATGCCAACACTTTCAATTTAGAAGAATTACAGAGGTGTGACTGAACCACTTTTGTCCCCCAGATTTTAATGATGGCAAATCAGATCTATTGATGCAAATGAATTTATTTAGAGTTACAAATGATCAGACAAAAGATCTTCATCAGAATTATTTACTGCACAATACAAACACTAAAACTACCAGGAGTACAGGAATAGACAGGACAGTGCTCTACACTAAAGCAATTGTTGAAGCAATTCTACTAAAGCTGGCACAAAAGTAATAATTCTTAATTAGAGATGGATGGAACTCCCCCAGACCAACACTCGTGGGGAGATCTCTGCTCTCAACCTCCAGCAGTGACCTTGGGGGGGTCCCCAGCCAAGGCAGGAATCTCCACACACCCTCCAAGAAGGGTTCTGTTGGAAGAAGCTGCCCCTGTAAAAGGGCACTGGCCCTTTGTGGTGGAAAGGGATGGACTGACAGTCACTGGACTCCAGGGGTTGCCTCACCATCAGGGGCTTCATTCGGGGTGGAAGCAGCGGCCGAAGCTCTTCCCGCAGTCGGGCCACTGGTAGGGCTTCCCTTACTGGTGGGTCCGTTGGTGTGAGGTCAAGGCAGAGCTCTGGGTAAAGCTCTTCCCACACTCCCCACACTTGTAGAGCCTCTCCCCGGAGTGGATGCGCCGGTGCCTGACGAGGGTGGAGTTGTACTTGAAGCCCTTCCCGCAGTCGGTGCAGCGGAAGGGCCTCTCATCCGTGTGCGTCCGCTGGTGCAGGAGGAGATGTGAGCTGGTGTGAAACCTCTTCCCACATTCCGAGCACTTGTAGGGCCGTTCCCCGGTGTGGATGCGACAGTGGGCAAGGAGGCTGGAGCTGTCGTTGAAGCTCTTCCAACATTCCCCACACGTGTATGGACGTTCCCCAGTGTGGATGTGCTGGTGTCGGATCAGGTCGGAGCTGTCCCTAAAGCTCTTCCCACACTCCTGACATGGGTAGGGCCGTTCCCCAGTGTGGATGCGCTGGTGACGCATTAAGCTGGAGCTTTCAGTGAAGCTCTTCCCACAAACATTACACATGTAGGGACGTTCTCCAGTGTGGATGTGCTGGTGTCGGATCAGGTTGGAACTCCGGTTGAAGCTCTTCCCACATTCTCCGCACGTGTAGGGACGTTCCCCAGTGTGGATGCGCTGGTGTCGGATCAGGTGGGAGCTCCGGCTGAAGCTCTTCCCACATTCCAAGCACCTGAAGGGCTTCTCCCTGCTGGGAGGCTGATCAGGGACCACCAGCTCAGAGCTCCCCCTCAAGCTCCAGCCGCCTTCCCGGCACAGGCTGGCTCTTTCCTCCTCAGAGCACCCTGGGATGGCTTTGGAGCCCCTCCTGCGGGGGGATCTCCGGCCCTTTTCCTCCCCGCTGCCTTCCTGCGCCGGGGAGCCCTTCAAAACGGCCTCTCCCACCAGGGTCTCACGGGGGGATTTGTCCTCCGGGCTCTCCGTCCTCACCTCGGGGCCTGGGGCAGGAAGCAAGAAGGACAGGCAGGGGATTTGCCTCCGGCCCACAGGGAAGGCCAAGGACATCCCCCCAACTCCGGCCCCGGCAGGACGGCGGCGCCAGCGGGGTTGTCCTGCAGCCGGGGCCATGCTCGGCTGACAGAGCCAGCACAACACCCGCCCAAAGGGACACTGACTTCCTCCTCCCCTGCCTGGGGGGACCAAGGCATCTTCCTCTTCCTCGCAGCCTCCTCCTCCATCCGACCAAGCTTTGGGAAGGACAAATCCTGATGGGGGGAAAACAAGGGCTGAGCACGTTGGCTTGGGGGTTCCTCCTGCCCAAGTCCATCTCTAGAACTCACCGGGCATCATAAAAACCTCCAAAACACCAAGATTCAGCCCAGAAAAACCCAAACCACTGAGATTCAGGTAAAAAAACACTCAGAAATAGCAAGAAGATCCCCGTCCTCCCAAACTGCACAAATATGAGATTCAACTGAAAAATACTGCAAAATATGAAGATTCAGCTTAAAAAATCTCTCCCAGAAGTTCCCCATCTCTGGTCTCTCCCCTCTGCGGTTCGGAGGGTCTCCCCTGTCTTGGATGTTGGGGGTCCCACTTAGGGATGCTGGGAGTGTTCGGGGTCCAAGGGTCCCTTCTCCTCTGACTCTCAGCTTCGGGGTGCTGCATTCCCAGATATTCCCCTTCTCCAGGTTCTCCACTTTGTTTTCCCGGGGATCCCAGGAGTCCCCACTGTCCAGGTTTCCCCTTCTCCACGCACCCTGTTTCAGGTTCCCAAGGGTCCCGGGGCTCCTCCCTCTCCGTGCTCCCCCCTCCAGGCTGCCGGGGGTCCCCCAGTTCTGGCATCGCCCCGCTCCGCCCTCCACACTCGGCAGCTCCCGGGATCCACACCCACCCCCGGTACTCCTGGAGAAGCCCCAAACCCGCTGTGTCCCCCCCATCAGGACCGGGCTGACAATGGAGCCGGCGGGGCCTGACCCAGCAACACCAACCCCCACTGTGGGGGGGACCCGCATCCCCCCGCCCACCGCCGGGGATCTGCCGCCAACCCAGCCCGGCACCCCCAAAAAACACCTCCTGCCCACCCACACTCAGCCGTGGCCCTGCCCGTGGCCCTGTCCCTTGGTTCTCTCTCTGCCAGCTCAGTGTGGGGCACACAGGCTGGGGGTCCCTCCCAAGCCCCCCGGGCAGCCGGCGTTGGCTGGGGGGATGTGAGGGCTGGGCCTGCTCAGCACAGCCCCGGCCTCGTGCCCAGCGCCTCTTTCCTGACCCACACAAGACCTTCCCGGCCCCCCAGGGCTCCCCTGCTGCTGCCTCTGCTCCTGGCCCTGCCTTTGCTGCTCCCTTGGCTGGGGCAGCGGCTGCAGGGGGGGATGGCAGCAGCTTCAGCTCCACGGCACTTCCTGGGGGGAGCTCAGCCCGGGGGGACGGGCAGGGACCTGATGGGGATGGACAGGGGCCCAGCAGGGACAGACAGGGCCTGCAGGGGAAGGCACAGGGACAACCTGGCCCCCCACACTGCCAGGGCTGTCTCTGCTCCTCCTTGCAGGCTCCGTGGCCAGGCACAGTTTGTGTTCCTGGGTGCCCACCATCTCAGCACTTGGAGACGCTCAAATCAGCGCCCGCAGCTCTGCAGCAAAGCCCCAGCTCACCTGGCACACAGGGGATGGACACAGCACCTGCTCGGGGATGGGCACTGACAGCTTTGCCTTCCCCCACCACGGGGCTCTCCTTCCTCAGCAGCACCTCTGCCTTGCACTTATTCTCAGCCTCACCTCAGGGACAGCTCTGGGCTCACCTCCGCGCCACTTCTCAGCCTCACCTCAGGGCCTGGGCTCAAGGACAGGAACCTGCAGGGAGGGGACATCAGGTGCAAGCTCAGGGCTGCCTGCTTGCACTGGCCTCTGGGCTTCCTTCTCCTTCTACAACCAGCCCAGAACTCAGCCTGCTTTTCTAACACCACACATTTACAGACTAACCTTGGAGATAGATATGGACAGACATCTCGATCACCCTGGGGATAGAGCCTCAAGCATGTGCTGCCACAGGAATGGCAATCACAGAATCACAGAATCAGCCATGTTGGAAAAGACCTCCGAGGTCCTCAAGTCCAACCCTTGATCCAACCCCGCCGTGCTTCCCAGACCATGGCACTGAGGCCACATCCATTCTCACCTTCAACACCTCCAGGGACACTGACTCCACCCCCTCTCTGCCCAGCCCATTCCAAGGCCTGATTACTCTCTTGGGAAAGAATTGCTTCCTAATATCCAACCTAAACCTCCCCTGGCACAGCTCAAGACCCAACCCTCTTGTCCTACTGCTGCTTCCTGCCAGAACAGCCCCACCCCCACCTGGCTCCAACCTCCTGGCAGGGACTTGCAGACAGTCAGGAGGTCTCCCCTGAGCCTCCTCTTCTCCAGCCTCAACACCCCCAGCTCCCTCAGCCTCTCCTCACACCACTTGTGCTCCACTCCCTTCCCCAGCCTCGCTGCTCTTCTCTGGATCCTCTGACCCCAAAAATGCTCCCCCTCCCATAGAAAGGCCAAGGGCATCTGGGGACAGTTGGGGGGCTTTGTGGGGCACTGGATAATTACTGGGGGATACTGGGACAGACTGCGGGGAACCAGAGAGCATTGGGAGGACTGGGGGGTTACTGAGGGACACTGGGAGGGCACTGGGAGGGCCTGGGGGGGAACTAGGGCACACTGGGGGGCACTGGCATTGAACTGGGGAGTTACTGGGGGATACCCGGACAACGGGGGGGATACTGGCAGGTTACTGGGCCATACTGGGGGTTATTGGGTGCTCAGTGCAGGATCACTGGGCCATACTGGGGGGCAGTGGGAGGTCACTGGGACACACTGGCTGGTCACTGAGGGGGTTACTGGGCCATACTGAGGGGAACTGGGAGGTCACTGGGATATACTGGGGGCACTGGGATCCCCTTACCCAGATGTGGTACATCTCCCCCCCTGGATTTTAGAGGGCATCCCTAGGCCCCCTCCCCTGGGGGCTGGGGGACCCCTTGAACCCCATTGCTGGGCTTTAGGGGACCCCCTAAAATCCCCTCAAAACCCCTGAAACCCCCCCTCGACCCATCGAAACCTCCTCAAGGGCCCTTCATCCCTCCCCAGCACCCCCTAAACCCTCTCAGTGACCCACAAAACCCACCTGAGACTCTCCAATCCCATTCAGGGACCCCCAATCCCCCCCACAGGCCCTCCAAACCATCTGGGACACCTTAAACCCCCTGGAGACCCCAAAACTGCCTTGAAGGTCCCCGCAAAGCCTCCCAGGAACCCCAAACCTCCCCAGAGACCCCCAAAGCCCACCTGGGACACCCCAAATCTTCTCAGAAAACAAAACCCGCATCAGAGCCCCCCAAAACTCTTCAGGGACCTTCAACCTCCCCCCTGAGTCCTTTCAGGGACCCCCCAAAACGTCCCCGGGAACCCCCGAACCCCTCGGCTAAACCCTCCCGAGCCCTCCAGCCTTTCCACCCACACCCGCGCTCCCCGCAGCCCCCGAGGGGATCCCCAGACCCCGCTCTCGCCGCCCCCCCGCCAACTCACCCAGCGAAGCGCAGCGGCCGCAGGCGAGTCCTGCTCACTCCCGACCACGAGGCCAAAATGGCGCTCGCTCCGCGCGCCCTCCGCCTTTACAGACCCGCCCCGCAGCCAATCAGCGCGCGGCCACGGCCCCTGCCCGCCCTTCGCCACGCCCCCACCTGCGCGGTGCATTGTGGGAGTTGTATTCCCTGCGGCGGGGGAGGATCGGACTTGTTGGGGTTTAGTTTTTCTGTCTTCTTTCATTTTCTCTTTTTTATTTCATTCTTTTCTTTCTTTTTTCTTTCTTCATTCCTTTTTCTCTTTTTTTTCTTTCTCGTTCTTCTTTTTTTCTTTGTTCTTTTTTTTCAATTTTTTTCCTGTTTTTTCTTTCGTGTTTTCTCTTTTTTTCTCCTTTTTCTTTTTTTTCTTCCTTTTCTTTGTTTTTATTTTTCTTTTTCTTTTTTTCCTTTTTCCCTTGTTTTTTATACATTATTTTCTATCAGCTGTACTTTCAATCGGTTGTACTTTCAAGGAAGATTTAAACACATATCAAAACAATCTCTAGGTACATAGCTTACAACAACAGATAATCTGCCATTGTTCCAGGTTTGTGAGGATTCCCAAGATCACAAACACTGAGACACCAAGGGTGGAAGTGAAGCCACTTTATCCTGTCCCTTGCCACAGCCTTCAATCCACACCCAGCCCTGGATTTCTGCAAAGCCCCTGGGCAGGAGCAGGAGATGGAGCTGGTGCTCGGCGGGAGGGGCAGCAACAACAAACCTGTGTCTTTGGCACAGGGGAAGGAATTTAGTGCTTGAGGGGTTACATTCCACAGGCTCCCCTGGGGATCAGCTCATGCTCGGGCAGAGAGAACAGCAAGAACATTCCTAATAAAAATGGCAGAGGGAAGGGAGCGGAGGGGGAGCAGGGGCAGGAAAAGGAAGCAGAGCGATGGAAGATGGGCTGGGGCGGTCGGGGCTGGGGGAAGGCAGGCTGGACAATGCCTTGTTTGGTCCAGCAGCTGGACCAGCTCCAGGGCAGATGTCGGGGAGCCTCTGCCACAGGGACATGGACAAACAGACGCTACAAAAGCTCTCAGAGGGGTTGGGGGCTCTGGGCGGGGCTGCGCTCTCGCCTCAAGCCAGGATATCCCAGGGCAGTGGAACAGCAATTCCTGTCAGCTCCCAGCAAAGATTATTGGGGTTTGCACTGGGCAAATATTGACGCTCCAACTTCCTCTTCTCTTTTTAGAACTTTGAGCTTGCAGTCGGGTAGAAGGGCTGGTGGGGGAGTGGGAAGAGACCCATTTTGAGGGACACATCTCATCCCTCAGTTAGATGGAGCTAAACCCCTGATCTTGCTTAGGAAGAGCTGCTGATGCTCAGTTGTCTTCTTTCCCTTCTGCTTTAGTGGGATATTACATTTCCCTGCAGTATTGGTGATAGAAGGGTATGTCAGCTGGAATGGTTTGGTTCTTAAAGAGAGCATAAATGCATTTTAAGGAAGGTATTTTTACATAGGTGAGGCCTCCAAAAAAACCCCCAAACCCAAAAGGTAATATAAGTGCAGAATCAAGTGCAGAACTTTGGGGTTTTCTTTTTAATTCTTGGGTAGAAAAGCCATCCCAGTTAGGGACAGCAATTTATTGCATTGCTGAAAAAAAAAAAAAAACAACCAACCAACAAACAAAGAAATATGAATTGGTTCCCTTTCAGATTTGTTTTTGATCATAAAAATCCTTCTAGTGAAAAGGGCTAATTTACTCTTTCTAGAGGAATATTTTAAGTGTGATTATCACAATATCACAACTGCTGAAAAGGTCTAAAATAGGACTGACCTTGAACGTGTTCCTGAGTTTAGGATGTGGTGGTTAACATTAAAGAAACAATAGAACTGCAACTCATTTATTAATGTATCATCTCAAAATGTTCACTCTTGCTCTGTAAAGACATGCCACAAGGATTGTAGAAAGCTTGCAGTATCCCAGGAAGTACATGTGGTATTTTATCAGTCTAAATATGCATAAGATTTTCAAGATTTCTGCTGACAATACTCCATAACTAAAGTAAGTTTTCCCTTTGGTGCTGCACGAGTTTATGATTTAATTGTTACTGACATTCCACCAGTCACATTATTAGCTTCACCAAAGGAAAGGGAAATAATCCTGTATTTAATTAAAGAGAGCAACTGAATTCCCTCAGTCACCTTGTCCTTGGCTGTCTGGGACAGTGATGCAGTTCAATGCCCTTGAAAATAAAACAAGGAGAAAATAGGGAGTATTTGTTTGAGACCAGATAAACTGAATGTAGTTCAGTAATATGGTAAGGGAATTGCTGTTATTTCACAGAGACATTTCTTTGTCTGCTGGAACTGAGGGGAGCAGCAAAAGCTAAAAGCCTTGCTCTGTGTCTTTGTGAACACACTGTGGGTAAGTTCAAAGGAGCATTCAGAGATTGTGTTGTGTGAGCCTTTTTCCCTCAGATCAAAACAAGGAGTAATTAATGCTAAATCCAGCAGGTGGCTTTCAAGTAATAACTTGGTCCAGTTTGTCCAACTGTGTCCAAACAGGTGAGGAAAATCTGGAACTTTAGAAGGGTTAGTTTTTTACCTCATTAGCAGGATATCCAGGGGTGCACCAAGTGCCTACCAGTGAGATTTAGCATTAATTACTCCTTGTTTTGATCGTGGAGGAAAAAAGCTCACACAACACAATCTCTGTGGACCCAACAGAGAAAACATCTCCAGGGTCTTGTTAGAGCACAAACCTGCAGACAGGGATGACAGGTCAGAGAATCACAGAATATCAAGGTTGGAAGAGACCTTCCAGATCTTCTAGTCCAACTGTCAACCCAGCACCACCAGAATCACCCCTAAACCCCATCCCAAAGCTCTACATCCAGATGCCACCTGAATGCTTCCAGAGACTGCACCACCTCCCTGGGCTACTTGTTCCAATGCCTGAGCACTCTCTCAGTGGAAAAAGGGTTTTGGAATATCTAATAGGAAACTTGCCCAACGCAATTTAAGGCCGTTTCCTCTCTTCCTGTCACTAAAGGCTTTAAAGAAGAGACCGACTCCCACACCCACTAAAACCTCCTTTCAGGTCATTGCAGAGAGCAATGAGGTCCCCCCTGAGCCTCCCCTTCTCCACACTCAACAAGCCCAGTTCCCTCAGCTGTCCCTCAGCAGACATGTTTTCCAGAGCCTTCCCCAGCTCCGTTCCCTTCTCTGGACACGCTCCAGCCCCTCAAGGGCCTTTTGGCACTGAGGGGCCAGAACTGGACACAGCACTCCAGGTGGGGCCTCCCCAGTGCCCAGCACAGAGGGGCAATCAGTTCTCTGCTCCTGCTGGCCACACTCTTCTCCACAAAGGCCACCATGCCCTTGGCCTTCTTGCCCCCCTGGGCACACTCTGCCTCATATCCAGCCCCTGTCAAGCAGCACCCCCAAGTCCCTTCCTGCTGAGCAGCTCTCCAGCCCCTCTGCCCCCAGCCTGGAGCGTTCCAGGGGGTTGTTGGGAGCCAAGGGCAGGCCCTGACACTTGGCCTTCTTGATCCAGCCTGTCCAGATCCCTCTGCAGAGCCTTCCTGCCCTCCAGCACATCCACACTCACACCCAGTCTCCCAAACAGCACAAAGTCTGACCACCAGCAGTCCAGGGTGTCAGTTCTGCTGCCCCCTCCTTCCTCCACCCAGAATGGAAAACTCCATCATTTTGGGGTCTCTGTGCCCGTCGGCTCCGACCACCACATCCCCCACCAGTCACAGAATCATGGAATGGTTTGGGTTGGAAGGGACCTTAAAGAGCATCTCAGTCCAACCCCCTGCCATGGGCAGGGACACCTTCCACTAGACTCAGAGCTCAGAGCCCCATCCAACCTGGCCGTGAACACTTCCAGGGATGGGGCAGCCAGAACTTCTCTGAGCAACCTGTGCCAGGATCTCACTACCATCACAGTCCAGAAATTCTTCCTAATATCCCATCTAACCCTTCCCTTTCTCAGTGTGAAGCCACTGCCCCTTCTCCTGTCACTCCAGACCCTTGTAAATAGTCTCTCTCCATCTTTCTTGTTGGCTCCCTTCAGGCACTGTAAGGCCACAATTAGGTCACCCCAAAGCCTTCTTTTCTCCAGCCTCAACAATCCCAATTCTCTCAGCCTTTCCTCACAGCAGAGCTGCTCCATCCCTCTGATCCCTTTTGTGCTCCCCTCTGCACTCGCTCCAACAGGTCCATGTCCCTGATGTGCTGGAGCCCAGAGCTGGAGGCAGCTCTGCAGGGGTGACAACATTACAGCCCTGTGTGTTCCAGCAAGGACACTGTGGAACCTCCTGGAGTAAAGGGGCCATTGTGACACTGTAGGGCCTTCTGGAGCCAAAGGAACCCTGGGACACTGTGGAATCTCATGGAATCAAGGGAGCATTGTGACAATGTGAAAACTCATGGAATTAAGAGACCATTGTGACACTGCAAGGCCTCATGGAATCAAAGGAATCCTGGGACCCTGTGGAAACTCATGGAACCAAGGGTTCATTGTGCCATGAAGGGCCTCATGGAACCAAGGGAGCCCTGAGACATTTTGGGACCTCATAGAATCAAGGGGCCATCGTGACACTGAGGAACCTCAGGGACTCAAAAGCCACTGTGACACTGCAGGGCCTCATGGAACCAAAGGAAGCCTGGGACTTTTCAGAACCTCATGGAATCAAGGGGCCACTGTGACACTGCAGAGCATCATGGAGACAAAGGGACCCCAGGACACTGTGGACCTAAAGAAATCAAGGGCCCGTGTGGGCACTGTGGAACCTCATGGAATCAAGGGGCCATTGTCACAGTGCAGGATCCCATGGAAGCAAAGGAATCCCTGTGACATTGCTGAACCTCATGGAATCAAGGGGCCATTGTGACAATGTGGAACCTCATGGAACCAACGGGCCATTGTGACACTGCAGGGCTCATGGAACCAAAGGATTCCTGGGACACTGTGTAATCTCATGGAACCAAGAGGCCACTGTGACATGTGGGGCCTCCTAGAACCAAAGGAGTCCTGACACATTTTGCAAACCCATGGAATCAAGGGTCCATTATCACACTGCAGAGCCTTACGAAGCCAAATGGACCCTGCGACTCTGTGGAACCTCATGGAATCCAGTGGCCAATCCCACACTGTAAAACCTCATGGATACTGTCAG